ACACAGACAAAGTAGGCCTCACAGCTGGCGGGATGCAGTCTTGGATCCCGCTTGGAAAAAACCTCAACCAGAAACCCCTAGTCCCCCTAAAGGCCAAAGCCTAGAAACGCCAACGACGACACTGCACTACGAGGCCTAAGCAGTTGCCTATAAACGGCCAAATGAGGCTCAACACCCCAGTGCTTACCCCGATGTCGATCCGGAAGCCAACCTAAGAATCCCTGCCCCAAAATCCTAAAGCCTAACATAGGGGCCTTGGCAATTCGAATAGGGTTTTGAAGCCCATTATACTATACTTATGATAAGGAACCCCCAAAAGAATATTGGAAATTATTTAGACCCCTATATTAAAGCCGAACCCCGCTTGAATCCTGAACCTCTTACGCCCTACGTCTGACGTCCTGAACCACCATGAAACCTCCTCGACCCTAAACCCTAAACCCTAAGGCTCTAAGCACTCATAATATAAGGCTTTTCGGCCCAAAGGCCACACTATAGCAGGTTTTTGGGGCGATTTTGAGCCTTAGGGTACGTAAGGGTTTTAGTCTTCAGGGTTCCACCACCACTCCAGAGCCGACCTCAACCCTGGAAGCCTAGACTCAACTCTAAGCCCCTTCACAATTAGAATAGGGCTGACTTTTGTTTGGGGTATATTCTATTATATTATATAGTCATTATAAGGAGCCCAGTATTCTCATTGTTAAGGCAACTAAAACTCTACATCCAAAACCATGGTCTTGAATTCCAAGAATCGGCCCGACCCTCAAGAGCCATAACGCCTTCTAGAGCTCTTAGACCACTCTTTTTGGACCCTATAAACGCGAAAAGCAAGCCCTAGACCCCAACACCCCAAAACCCTAAAACTCCCCCGAACCCCAAAACCCCAAAAACTAATCCACTAAATCTTGAAACTTGAAGCTCATACCTGACAAGCAAGAGCTGGCAGGCAAATGCTTCGCAAGCATGCCAGCAGTAGCTGGGGTCACCCTTAAACCAACTTCCCTGCTCCCCTAATTCCTGAAACCCCTAAACTCAAGGCATAGGCCACCCAACTAATGTGGGCGGGCGGGATCGCGAAAGGCCAACGGGACCAGTACCCCAGCAAGGCCGTAGCACCCAAGCTCCACGGCCAACGGCCGCTCAGGAGACCTCTAAACCTCAAACCCTAAACCTTAAACCGTAAACCTCAAACCCTAAACCCTAAACCTTAAACCGTGAACCTCAAACCCGAAACCCTAAACCCTAAACCTCCAACCCTAAACCTCAAAGCCTAAACGAGGCTCCCCATAGGACATTTGGAGCTTTTGCCCCTGCCCCCCATTAAAGGTGGGGAGTTTAGGGGATATAGACCTTCAATAAGGCTTCCATAAGCTGTCTGGTGCTTAGTAGGGAATGGGGGAATGGGTTATAGGGACTACTATAATGGACCTTAATAGGGATCCATTCCCCCATTCCCTACTAAGCACCAGACAGTAAGGTATACAGACCTTTTGCAAGGCTCCTATACCAGTAACTACCCACATGAAAATGTCCTAGACCTACCCCTGCCTTGCCTGTTCTGCCCTTGTCTGAGCCTCAGAAAGAGTATGTTTGATTGGTTTAGGGTTTGGGGTTTAGGGGTTTTAGGGGTCTTTAGGAGCTTTAGGGTTCAGGGTTTGGGGTTTAGGGTTTAGGGTTTGGGGTGGGAGAGAAAGAAGGAGAAGCCTTCTAGATAGACAGGCTTTCGCAGCCCGGCGCAGAAGTACGATGCAAGATATTGCCATATACTATTGGAGCCTTAATAATTAGAGTAGGGCTTTGGGGCCCATTATATCACAATTACACCACGGAACCCCCCAAGCATAGGAAATTATTGAAGCCCCACTGTTGCCTCGCAATCGTGCTGACCACGTACTTGGACGGATCCCGCAGCTCCTGCTCTATTGATTTTTCGGCTCTGGGGCTTGAACGCTTGTGGATTCAGGTTTACAAGTTTTTTCAGGGCTCTATCAAGGCTTTTGGTTGTTTAGAGGGTTAGAGTTTAGGCCCTGGTAGGGCTCTACTCCTTTGGGGTTGGTTTAAGGCTTTCTATGCAAGTACAATGTAACGTAGAGGCCTTATTCATTAGAACAGGGCTGCGGCAGTATACTTGTTCTATAAACATATATTTAGCAAACCGACCCAATAGTGGATTACCAATTCTTGTGGCTTCTGCTTTAGGGCTTCTAGTATGTTTCGCTTTACAGGAGTTTTCCACGGGTGCCACCGGCTTCTTTGGGTGTGTCCGGGAGGGCTCTGAAGTCTCAAAGGGGAGCCCGGTTAAGGATTTAATGTAGGGGCCTACACAATTACCAATACTATTCCTCTAATACAAGGGCCTTATTAGTTAGAATAGGGTTTTGGGGCCCACTATACTACAATTCTAGTCAGGAACCCCCAAAATACATTTTTTTGGGGGGTTCCTTATTGTAATTGTAGTATAGTGGGCCCCAAAACCCTATTCTAATTATTAAGGCCCTTATATTAGAGGGATTGTTTTCGGAGCTTGCTCAAAATGGAAGTTCAAGCACTTGGGGTGCAGGCACGGATATTGGGGCTCTTACTTTCTACTTGCACAACTTCTTCATTTGGGTTTACAGTTTAGTTCAGCCTTTTGGGGTTTAGCGCTCGTTTAGGGTTTAGGGTGTGGGGTCGTCAGTTAGTTTGGGTGTTTAGAAAGAAGTGCCCAACTAGGCTTTTGTCACTGGGGTTAGTGCAAGGACGTCACTAGCAGGCCTTGCATCAACAACCTTCAAGCGCCACGTGTAAGCTTGGACTGGAACCCGAAACCCGAAAGAATTCCTAAAACCCTAAACCCGACAACCTAAGGTCGTAGGGCCTGCTAGAGTTGTGTAGAGCCTGTTGGAATCAAGGAGTAGAGGGATAACATTGCCATTCTGATTGGTTTAGGGTTTAGGGTTTAGGGTTTAGGGCAAGCCTCCGAAGAACCCTCGACAACTCCCAGACATCTGAAGCTCTAAACCTACAGCCAAGACCTAGCTTTCTCTCAGTCAAACGACGATAAACCCCAAGACGCTGAACCCCGGAATCACAGAAGACCTCCAAACCAAAGACTTGCAAAACAAACAGCACAGACATGACTCCTAAACGAACAGCCAGGTAACAGCCAGTTGGGTGGTTCTCTAAACTAGGGCCACTTTTTAGATCCCAAATATAGTACGGCACCCTTATAAAAGGGATCCCCACAAGGGGCCCTGGATTAGAGAACTGCCCAGCTAACAGGTGCCAATATGCCCTAAACCCCAAACCCTACAGCCCTAATACACAAAAGCCCGAAAACCCTAAAGCCCAATGCTCAACAAACTAGACCCTAAACCATAAAACACCGAAAACCTCATAACCTGAAGTCCTTACCCTAAACCCCAAAATCCTAAAACCCGTAAACCCTCATCCCTAAAACCCTACAGCCCCAATACCCGACCATCTAAACCCCGACACCTGCAACCCAAAAACCAAAAATTCTAAAAATCCTAAACCCTAAAAACAGACGAAGCCCTTCCCGAATATAGAACCCTATAGGATCCTTAAAGGGAGCCCTTTTCAGAAACCTATCAGGATCTTCATGCCCTTGATGTAAAGTATAGGGGATCCCAGCACTAATCATCCTAGATTCATGTTCTACCTTTCTGGGGTTCACTATATCGACTACCGATTTTTTTTAACGAAACCCCTAGATAGGGATTTAGGGTTTAGGGCTTCTTATCAAACCCTACTCCTTAGCTGGACCCTTTAGGGGCGATCCTTGAAACTGCGTCTTCTAGTAGGAGGTTCACGGGTAGTTATAAGTGGGGTTTTAAGTAGGGTAACTATACTTATAACCCATATTAGGGGACTTATAAACCCGACTTATAACTACCCATGAACCTCCAAGTAGTACCTTCGTGACTATACTTATAATCCATATTAGGGGACATATAAACCTACTTATAACTACCCATGAACCTCCAAGCAGTAGGGTTCAAGCTTTGGACAAGAAGGCTCCCACGAAACCCCTAGGGGATCAGGGTTTAGGGTTTCTTATCAAACCCTACTCCTTCCCTGTGTCTTCTAGTAGGGTTCAAGCTTTGGACAAGGAGGCTCCCCAGACTTCTCGAGGACGAACTCTAACAACTCGGCGGCGTGCTCTGGCGGAAGGCCTCCCCGACTTTCGGATCTTAGAAGGGGTTCTAGAAGGGCCTACCTTCAAAACCTAAAACCTACATTTTTGTAGGGTCCCTATAAATCCCATATTAGGGTTTATAATAAAAACCCACAAAAAAGTGGGTTTTGGGTTCTTAAGGTATACACAAATCTCTAGAAGTCTATAAGGGGTTAGAAACAAATTTCTAGAGGAGGTTCGGTAGTTTCGGATCCTAGTAAGGGATTTCTAGAGAGCTTCGGCAGTTTCGGATCGGGCTCTACAAGGGGTTATATGGGATCCAGGAGGGTTTCTATACGGGCTCTAGACGGTATATAAGCCCGAAGTGAACCCAAACTTGATAGAACCCCCATAAAAACTGTACATAAGTATTAGATAAAGCGCAAAATTCTCGTTTGAACACTTATAGCATCCTTATATGAACCTCAACTTAACCGAAGCGTTATAGAATCCCCATACATGCCCTAAACTCTAGACCAACCCTCAAACCTGACACATGAAGTATTGAAGCTTATAATCATGCTTGTATCATCATCTCGTGTTG